GGGCAGTTGCAGAACCATACAGAGACTTTAGAGTGCATTTTTACTAAGGAACAATTCAGTTTTACTATTGTAATATAATAATATTTTGATTTGATAGCGTATTAAAATCTACAAAACCAACACCAATCTCAAAACGTTGTACGCTTGTGTGACGTGAAGGGAAAGAGACAAAAAAATTCGATCTTCTTTTTTCAGAGAATCGGATGTTTTAACCACGGTACGTGAGAGCAGGAACTTTGTTGTTCCAATATATTATATCTGATCGTTGTACCGGTCGAAAACCACTTTTGATAAACTTATGATTCAATAGTATATGCTGGGCAGATAACTGCATTGATCTAAAGTCATGAGCGCGCGGGACACCACATACATTAAACACTTTCAGTTGGTAGGACATTTAGAATTTTGTTCGGGTGGCGGTCGAAGCCTACTCTTTTACTGACTTTGGACCTCCCAGAGATCTTTAACTTTAATGTGCGTAATTTGCACAAAGACCTCCGTGATTTTTCGCGCTTATTCGAGATGAGAAGGTTAGGCGTTAGATTTTACCTACAATAAGAACAGCAGTAAGAATTGAGCCTAGAAGTAGCAGTAGAAAGACTGCAGAAAGAGTCGGGAACCAAGTGGAGGGGGCATCTATAGGGCATACGAGGTAAGGGGGGGGGGGGCAGATACATAGAAACGAAAGCAGACGACAGAAGATTAAAGAGCAAGAATGGAGGTGAAAGGAGAACATTTTAGAAAAAAATTTTTTTTAACGTCGCTGTCCGGATTCAAAACAGGGACCTGTTGGATGAGAGGAGAACACCGCATAACCTCTCGACCACGAGAGCCCCTCCTCTCTATTTTCATGTTTACCCAAGGAGATTAAAAGTTCTAAACTCCTTGTGTTTACCCCAATCCGCGTACTTTTTGGGCGTATTTCTGTTTGTAGACGGCGCGGTTCTCATTATGGCACGCAAATTTAGCAAAGAAAACAAAAAATACATGTATTCATGATGCACGGTAAAAGCAGATGGACCATGTTCTTACGGCAACTTTCGAGGAGTTTAGGCATGTTATTAATGTATTGATTTTATAGGGGTTGTGTCGGCGAACATAAAATTTCTCTGGCTAGGCCACAGTGGATTCTATCGCATAGGGCATTTAAATTTGGAAGTGGCATCTCTGAAATGATACCTGTATTGCAATGTACAAAATTAAAAGAAAGGGATGAACGATACACCATACAGTGATGCAAAATCAATTAATAAAGCAATTATTTTATGGTGAATTATTGAGGAGTAATACTTGAAACATAAACCTGTTGCTGCGGTTGTTGTTTTTTATTTCTCTAGTGGGCAACGAACAAAATCTGGGATGCGGAACACGGAAGCGTGAAATTGAAAGTAGCGTTGAGCTCTCAGAGCGTAAACATTGGAAATGCCACATGGTGTGTTTGTGTGTGATTTGTGACACTGAGCTAACACTCGCCATTCACATTGTTATTGTTTAAGATGCCTTTCAACAGAAAACGACAAGGATCGGGCCATGGTCGCAAGCAGTTCAAGAGGAAGAAATACAATTTGCTGACGCTTCGCCAGAATAAAGACCTAAAAGAATTCGGGGAACTCCATCCTGTTGATGATAATCCGTGAGTGTGCTCTTCACTCTTCTTATAGGATAGGCCTATCGGCCTAGAATCTAATCTAGATCTAGATCTAGATCTAGAATCTAGGCTATATCTCTGTCTAGATCTAGATCTAGATCTAGATAGATCTAGATACTAGATTTTAGATCTAGATCTAGATCTATTCCAGTTGTCTGTTGTTCATTGTTGCTGCTATTAAATAGGAAGCTTTTATTTGACACCAAACGGTTTTTGATTGAGGAAGTGGAATACATGCACCGGTACATTATATTAGACCATGCATTTCTTGCTCAGTGCCTATAATTATCTGCACAAAAACTTCATGTTTGCTTAGGCTACATGTGTACATTTAGTAAATTGTATTGGCCTATAACTATAACGAACACTCTGATTCAAAGAAATTGAAGGTCAGACCCGACGACTTATTTGTTGAATCCGAGCTCCACTGTATGTATTGCTTGAAAACTTTTCCTGTCACTGTCATCATTTTTATCGCAGTTTACTTTTTAACTTTTTCCTTCCTCTGGTAGACTATACTTTTGATGTCGAGGAGAGACACAGGTTTCAGTCCTATGCTAAGTGTGCGGCGTCTGTGAGTGATTAATAGCATGTGGTTAAGTTGTTCCAGGACTTTTATAACCCCGTCTAGCCAGGCCTTTTTTGGTCTTCCTCTTGATTTGAAGCCAGATTCACGGATGTTTGCTGCTGGTTGTCTCTGGAGTATTCTGGTTAAAATGTCCGAACCGTTTCATTCTACGCTCGATGAAATGTTTTGTTCCTAACTGGTTACCAGGGGGCTCTCGTGGCCTAGTGGTTGGTTGAGGTGTTGGTCTCTCATTCAAAGGT